CATTCAAAGTGAAGTAGAGTAGTGATAATCAAAAGGCTGGCTTGGGTTGTATTTTCGACATACCAGTAGCCAGTGTTACAGAATGTGGACCTGGTGAGAATTACTGTATGTGCTTTTTTTCTGCCATATGGTCTGGGTCTTGAGCACCTACGTCGTAGTGATTAATGTGTATAATTAATAGTCTTCTAACTGCAAGGGATCTTTTCAAAATCAGATGTGCCATTTACTGTACATGGTTCCATGCTCACAGAGGGACTGGCACACAAATCATCTCACACTCCTGATTAAAAGACCTCAGCAGATGTACTGTATCATGTCAGAATATAATGCACTCCGTTTTTGTCGTAAGGTGAGGTCACGGCTTGGTACGCACTCGTAGAATGCAGTAACAAATCAGACCTTAATGTACAAAAGAACTATGTGTTGCGAAAACCGTGCCCAATAAGAGTCTGATATTGTGTAATCTGCACAACTCAGACACTCTTCCTCTGAGAAGGCAAGGCAACATTCTCTGACAGCAGCGCACCATTTCGTACCAGGGAGCTGAAATTCATGATATAATGATAGTAGTAGAACCCATTTTAGAGGACTGGCTTTTCAGGATTATGCTATACTTTCCTGTTTCTTCTTTTGTAAACTATTAATGATATATTAGATTTGTTTTAAACGTTACAGATGCAGTGACTGGATAAAAAACAAGTTTGGGTTAGACTGTTACAAATTTAATGCCAAAAGATAAGAATTCCCCTTTCTAAACTGAGTAAATAAATCTATTACGATTATATATATTCTCCATGCTGAACTAGTGAAGTGTTTCTTATTATCAAGGACCTTTCCACGAACAGCTCCACAAAGAAGAATTTACATTCCAATTACTACATAGGTACAAGATCTTATAATCGAGTTGGTAAGAGCTGTATATTGTGTTGTGTTAGACTGTTTAATGGGGAAGTTAAACAATGCCAGGACCGGGTAAAATGCTTGGTTTTAAGCTTATAAATATGGCAGTATTGTAGTGTTATATGCTTTTATTCTTGATAAAAGAGTAAAGGTTACAATTTGAAATCAAAAACACAATATAGATACTTTCTGAATAACTGCCTGAGTTATGATAAACAATATATGGTTTGGGAAGCATTATATCTAAAAACAAATGTTATATATTAAAATGCCCCAGATTATGAATATATAAAATGAAACTTGAATTGTAAAAGCAAGTGTATTTCATTCAATCATTATAAAAACATGAACTGCTGTCTGAGAATAAAAGCTATTTAATAATGAATCAATTCAATGACTTGAAAAACAAGAGGCCTTGGTGTGATATGAGTGTGTTTTTCATCGAGAATCTGGATTAAAATGTGATCTGTCAGTGGCGGATTTTTCGGATTTTATTTTGTCCTCCGGGTGAGGAGACGTGTAAGAACATTTTAAAATAAAAACAGCACAGTAGTTATCAGGGTACAGGCTTTTGAGAAGGGCAGTTGTTCACCCTGGTTGAGGTTAAGGTCTCTGTCTCGTTCTCGCCACCTGATAGATTCTCCAGTTTATTGCCCAGGGTTGTTACAGACTTCCTTTGTCCAAAGAGGTCTGCCGACATCGTCCGTGATTTACACAGGTTGACACTTTGCATCCTCTGCACTGGGCCCTGACTCTGGGACGTTCTAATCCTTTAATGGCTGATGGTGTCTCTCTAGACTCATTCCTGAAAAAAATTCCACAGCGATCTCCATTTCATTTGATTCATTTGCGTGCATGTGTTTGTTTTCAGCTATCTTATCATTCAGTGGGCTGATTCCCACAAATTACCAAATGGTTTGAGAAAAATGAAAATGCTGTTGAATCATAAATTTGTCACACCCTTTGAACAGCTGTTTGGTCAATAGAGAACAGTTAAATCTCAATCAACTGAGCATTATTTCACAATATATATCACAATATTTTAGCCTGAAGTCCTTTTAGTTTTCTCGTCTTTACTAACAACCATTGATAGATAGAAATTAAGTGTCTGTAACTTTTACTGGCCATTGGAAAGACATTATACTAATAAAACAGCATTTCAGGCACTTATTACACATTTATATAGCATTTATATAATGTTAAGAGTCTTCAGATATTTGATTACATGTGTTAACATTGGATTAGTCACACTTATTGTGTTTTAAGTTATTAGGGTTTAAGTTATTGAGGATGTTTTTAATATTGGTACTGTCTTTTTTGTCTTATTCTTTTTTTCTTAATATATCAGGCAGATCTTGAGATTAATCAATTTAGTTTACTATTAGATAGACTAAATTTTTATTTCTATAGTTTTAAACACACTCCATCACTAATAAAATGTTCATTTTCTGATGCCCAGTAAACATGCTTGCTTCAGCATTAGAACCTTTCTATTTTTCTTTAAAACTGTGTACATCCACTAAGAAAAGGCTTTGTCACTATTTTTGTATATTCTTTACTTTCTATGTCTTGTTTGTCATGTGTTGTTTGGTTTGATCTTTTTATTTGGAGCATATTGTTTCTGGGTCATTGTTTCTGTTTTGTTTCTATAGTTTTGCTTCTGTCCTGTTTGTGTGGTCTTTTTTGCTTTTTATGTTTAGCTGTTGTTGTGTAGCTTTTTCCGTGGGTGTTTACATTGGTTTTTTATACATATTATACCTCTTTTCTATCTGTGAGTGTTTTGCTCTATATGAGGAGAAGTCTTAAATAGTTGGTATTATGTACAACAACCATAAACACTTTATTTTGCCAAAGTAAAACAAAATGGATTACACCCAGTCAATGAAATAACAATTGTCATCTTTGGACTTTCTGCTAAAAATATTAACATGTTACTCTGGTGCCCTTACATTGAATTAGTTGACAGAAATCTATACATTTTACACATTGATCTAAGGTGGAATACGTTTGTTGTTTTTCAGAATGAATGGTTTGCAATAATCAAAGACCAGCAGAGGCAAATGTGTTACAAGAGTACAACACAAAGATGAAGAAGGTACCCACTGAATAAACAAAGGAAGAACTTCAATGCTTCTGTATTTTACTTTACCAGTGAATTGTTTAGACCAGGGCTGGCCTTTGGCCCTGAATGAAGTTTATTAACCATCTTCGCTTTTGTCTCCTTTTTTCCCTCTTGAGGGGAAAGTTGTATCGTCCTGATTCTGATGAATAGCTTTTTCGAATACCAAGGACTCCTGACTGGATGCAGATGGCCGGGAGAAATAAATGAAGTCTCCAGGCTCTTTTTTTTTATCAGTTGCAAAGTTCAGAAGCAGAAGGTGGCCAGAGAAAACTAACCTTCTGTTTCAGCACCATATCATGTATTGTCCTAATGAATTTGTGTAGCACACCACAGCACTGATAAGTGTGTTTGTATCTGTGTCTCTTCCTGCAAGACATGGCAGAAAGACCACTGAAGAATGTTTTCACCACTTATTTACTGTAAAGGTCTGAAATACTCTATGCAGAATCAATTGAAAAGAGTTCCGAGTATATATCTACTGTACATATGCATCTTGCACATATAGGTTAGTGTGTGAGTCTCTAGTTAAAGCCAAACGAAAAACAGTACCCCCACTTCAAAGCTATGGAAGCAGTGCTCTGTAACTGAAATCTTGGACAGAGATTAACTGCTGTCATTCCGAGATATAGCGGGCTTTTTCGCATGAGCAATTGGGTGGAAAGGTAACCACATTCACACAGTACTAATGTTTAGAGTTGGGAGTGTTAAAAGAACAAGTCTCAGAATTCCATTTCTATTTGTCATAGATTAAGCAGTTTAACGATTGGCATTCTTTTAAAGGCAAAACAAAATATCACAGCTATTTTTACAATACAAGGGGTAATTGGATTCTGCTCATTTTTGAGACTCCATAGCCAATCACTTACTTTTAATTAAAACTTAATTAACACAGTTGCCCATTTGGATTTGAACATTCTGAAATCTGAAAAATTCATCATATTAAAATGATGTCAAAAAGCTCAGTGCCACAAAAATAGGTTTTTATGTGTAGTTAGTTTCCCTTAATTACACAAACGGTATATTTTATGATCATAACACTGAAGAAAGGACTTACCAGATTTAAAAATGTCCGTATTATACACTTATATTTAAATATATATTTACATGCATACATATGTTATATAAATATATAGCATGTATTTATAAGTGTATATATTATATAGTAGGGTTGCATTTTACTAGACACAATGCATCAGATGTAAATAAAATTGTTTTTGTCTGGTGTAAAACACTTTTCCGTAAGACACTTAATATTTTGCAGAAGAAAACAGGTATTTTTATTTTCTTGTGAACTTGTCTAGGTGACAAAGAGCGAATGTTCAATTCTTTGGTTTACAGTTTTGTATGCTGCTCAAGAATTCCAGAAGGATATATAGAGAGAGATAAAATAGTTGCAAATAATGCAATTATCCAGTTTTATTTAGAAAGCTAACCTGAATGAACCTTTCTCTAGCTCTTCTGTGATTAATGTCAGGTGAATTAACTGTGGTCAGGACCTGGTCAGGTTAAGCACTGGTCACTGGCTTTTGAGAGCTTTGTCCAGTTCCTATTAGAAAGGGCTGTAGAAACTTGATACCATGATTGAGCCAACACAGCTGCTGGAGCTAACAGTTCACTTTAAGTGTTCTTTAATTCAAAGCCTGGTGAAAAAATAACAAACGCAAGATACATTTTTAGTGTTACCAATACATTTAGGTAGGGAACGACTCAAACTGTGATACATCTACTTATCATACAGTCTTTAGTTAATAAACATCTTTTTATGAGAGCAATATGTTAATATCAGATATATACACAATAATTCCAAACAAAAGATGTAAATACATAATAAAAAACAGAAAAGAAAACAAAATATCATTCCTGAAGCTATCAAAGGTTTTTTACAGTTCTTTTTGAAACTTGAAAGATTTAAGTTACACTTATTCCATTGAAAGTTTGTTAAATGGAAACTGTGGACCAGCACTTCTGTTTTTTTACAACATCACAGCTAATTAGCCACATAGCCAGTGTGACCATTTTTATATATTTTACAAATTCCAAATGCTACAGATTAACTTCATCAAAATCTCATATAATACAACCTTTGCAATCTCAACTACATCAGTAATATGTGCTGCAAAAAAAGTTTTTTTTATGAATTGAGTCATCCATCGTGACCACTGGAGAAGTCACACTTTGAATAGTTCTGCATAATAAACAGAATTTCCAGAAAGGTGTCCCTTAAGTAGTTTCATGGGTTTCAAATTCACATACTTCCCCTTAATGTAATAATTAAGCCAAAAGCAATATTTTATTTGAACATTTTCAATAACTTAGTTTTAGCTTGATTACAATAGATAAAGATCAGATATACTGGATCAGATTTCAACAACTACAACAACAGAATATTCCCTTTTGTGTTTCTGACAATGCTCATACAAAAATGGAATGCATTTCCATTGGTTTATCAGGAAGTAGTGTAGATACTAATTAAAAGTCTGTGTACATGAAGCCCAGGCCTTCCTGTACATGGAAAGAATATCTGCCAAGATACTCTGGCTTAAAATCCTTCACAGGGTCTGGCAATGTAGCGCTGTTTGAAAGCCTTGTTTCCATATTCATCCCAGCTGTCCTGTGCAGTTCTCCGGCCTGTCGCCATCTTCAGAGCGCCAACTGAAGTTTGGTCAAGTTCCGCTGGTGCATGTTGTGATGCCGGACCAACTCGTCAGACCTCGCAAACTTTTTCTGACAGTTCGGCCATCGACAGTTGAAGGGCTTCTCACCTGTCGAGAGACAAAAACAGGTGTTTAAACGTAGAGCCTGAAGGTGTCACTTTCGGCTGGAGTTTTAAGCGATTTACAGTCTGGACTTGGAATTCAATTATATTACCAGCCATGAAAAGCTGCAGACGTATAATATTATATATAATGCTGTTATTCAATTGGATCGCAATTCATGCCTCAATGTAAATGCTAAAATGCAGCTTGGTTCACACCACAGAATATGGTGCTGCTTATCAGTTTAGATTCATTAAGGGCCCTGATTTGCATATGCTGAAGACTTTCTTTGACACAAATTCTAGTTGTACTACATACACTGATATTAGCAATGTGAATTATTACACATTCATGAGTATAATTCATATGGCATCTGCCCTCAAACCAGCGTACATAAATGTATATTATTAGAATACATACTATTCTTATTTTATTCTATTATTTATAGAATAAAATAAGAATACTAGAATAATAGAATAATTTATTCTATCATTGGAATAAATCTAATAAATGTATTTATTAGAATGAATAAATGTGGAAAAAAAAAGTTTACGCACTTGTTTTACCTGTATGAGTCCTGGTGTGAGTCTTAAGGTGGTCAGACCGTGAAAACTTTCTCTGACAGGTTTCGCACTGGAAAGGTTTTACTCCTATGTGAACAAACAGGGGGGAGTAAAGACAGGAATATATGGTTCGCCAGACAAGCCATTCAGGTTTCCCAGAGGTCTGAAGAATTGCACTTAACCACTTCTTCAGCCTTCAGCATGACTGCTGGGTGCCCTGAAGGCCCACAGCATAAAATCAGAACCAATAGAAGATTTTACTGCATGCTCAGTCCCTATTTTTTATTCTTAATGTCTTCTGTTTTCAATAATGTTGTTTATTTCTGTAACTCAATTTATGTTTCAGTATTTTTTATTAGGGTTAAGAATGGTACAATGACGAGATCTATAGTGAGGACTTTTTAAAGTCTTTGATCAATCCAGTCCTACATATGAAACTAAAACTGACTGAAACAAGGACATTCGCTAATTTGTAAAGTATCATTAATATTGTTGTTGAATGTTGCTTATTTTTCAATGACATCTATTGTCGTACCTCCTACCCACAAATAGCTTAACAATTTTAATTTCTGTAAAAGACATAATTATTCAGCAATTCTGAATAATTAATCAGTTTGTGATTTTAGATCATTTCCAGTTGGAAATTAATCTGCTAAAAGCCACAAAAATGTTTGTACCAGGAGCAGATACTGGCTCTGCGTGTTACATTAACTGGAGATGTAGGCTTGATCTTGCTCTGAAGATTGCCTAAACATTTATTGTTTTGGTGTCAAATAAGTTTTTTAGTGCTGAGTAGAACCTTCAGTAAAGACCAGAGGTAAGGCCACAGCGAGCTGTAAGGTGATGCTTTTTCCGCAGCTGACGGAGACACTGTGTGATCAGGCATCCTTACCTGTGTGTCGCCTCTGGTGCCTCTTCAACTGGTCGGACCGAGAGAACCTCCTCCCGCAGTCTGTGAAGTCACACTGGTAGGGCTTTTCACCTGCAAAGAAACAGCAGTTCGGCTGTTAACTTACAGCAGGGAGACGGAATCCTGCTCGGACACCCCCTATTGTCTTTTGCTATATCATTTAAAGTACCTCTATGAGTGTTCATCTTGATATTGGAAAATTACCAACTCGGCAGTTCTATGTTTCTTTAATCACTGTAAACTACAGTATTTGTAGAAATGGTCTAACCAGGGAATATCAAGTCTCCTTGTATTATCAATCTACACGTTTTCACATTAAATCGTTTTCTTAAGAATCTAAAGAAAACATAGCAAAGTTAATCTGCTAGACACAGCAATTATTTCATCTGTCAATCTGTATTCAGTGATTTCTCAAATGTTTCCTCATGATCTTCCGAGAATGCCACCGGCATACAGTAAATTAGATCATTTTACTTTTTTTCTCATTTTACTGGTAAAATGAAGATATTCTTCCCAACACTCGTACATCTGTTCCATCTGGGACCATTGAGGGGGTAGTGAAATAGTTTAGAAACCACAACGTGGATTGAGATATGTCAGAGAATTCCAATAATGAGCACATGTATCCAAACTAACAATTTCTGTCCCTTCAGAGTTCAAACCATCTGAGTCATACTGTAAATGGCTACAGGACCATTTCATTCTCTAATATATTATTATAATATCTGTAATATATTATTATTGATTACTTGGATTTTAAGATAGATTTTCTGATAACATGAGCACAACATTGTTAAATTTATATTTTCTAAGTGAGAAAGCTTGAATTCCTTTTTCAGTCAACTATTCCTAAATGATTTTACTAAATTAAATCAAGGATAGACTTAAAGAGCACAAAGAACAGAAAAAAAAGAAGGAAATAAAATATCAATCTATAATTGCAGCTGTGCCAGAGAAATAAATGTGCTAACAAAGAATATGAATAAGAATGAAATATCCAGGGACGGTGCCGGTAATCATCATTCAAATGGGGAATAATGGAAATGTGAGTCAGAGGCATGACACAGCAATCATCCGAAATCCATCAGAGGAACATGATCCACTGTCTGACCACTCTTCATGTGCATCATCGTTGATGAGTTTACCAGTGTAAGTAACCGCCTTAATTTTTTTATTTATTTGTAACCTGGAATCCAGCATACTCTGCGCTCAGTGGGGCTGAGCCAAAGGGAGGGTGTCTGTTCACTGGAGAGAGAGACACTCGCTTTCACACGGTTACCTGTGTGCTTCCTGCTGTGCATCTGCAGGTGTGAGAGCTTGAAGTATCTCTTGTTGCAGCCGGGGTACGCACACATGAATGGCCGCTTCTCGTTGGTCTCCGACGATGGCCTCACGATGGCAGGAGTAATACCAGGCACTCTTCTCACATCCTGCAGGAGGATTTGGGATTTGTGACCAGGAAAAGAAGTTTTCATTTTTACAATATGTAGTCTAGCACAATTATACAATTGCTAAAAAGCAGCCATTTAAGATCTGCATTGCTCTAGCTGGTATGTATATATTGTTAATCGAATATATGAAATAATAGTATTCTTTTTAACTTTTCAGCATATCCAAGGGTTAAGATGAACTAATCTGAGTACGTCCTGCTCATGTTATTACATTTCATTGTTTTCTGATCACTTGTTGATGGGACTCTGAAAAATCTATTTATTTTAAGGAAGTAGCAATGTAGAATTATCTACTAACTTGAACTGAATGACACCTCACTTAAATTTCTGGATATCAGCGACTACTCATTTAAATGTTAACAGTTACTCATGCGCGTTAGGCAGACCATATCTCAAAGCCTAATCTTCTCAGGGCTTTTAAAGACACAGCTCTTTTATTTCAGCCTGTACTGAGCACCATCTGCTTCTAATTAGTACCAGCTTTACATAATGGGTTTTTTATGCTTTAGCAGTGTAATTATTGCTTGTAGAAGTTATTGATAGGTAAATGATAAAAAAGTTTTACGGCTTTCTAGCACAGTCTATCTGGGGATCCCAGTGAGAATCTTACCAGCAAAGTAAGTGTAGGTCCCAATTTTTTTTAGATTAAACAAAATACCTTTACAGACAAATAAATAATACTGTATTCGGTATGCTGTTTATAGGTTTTAAATATTTTAAAACGCACTTTTTTTGTTTCTGCCTGGTTCAGTCTTGAACAAAGCACTGAGGAAAAGCAAAGGCTAAAGTGAATATTTTCACTTAAAATATCTCCAGACACTCTTTCTGGAGAATCTCTGCTTTCAGAATCTTGACGGCATTAATTAAGGCTTATTGATTTATTAATTCTGGCAAGAAAATGGAAACCCTATCTTTATTGCTAATGGATCTCTTGAAAGCAATTCCTCTTTGCTTTTTTCTTACTGAAATACCTTTTAAATGTCTCCACTGTTTTGGCAGTGTTATTTAATGATTCGTATTGCATCACTTTTACTTTGAGTCATATTTCTTCCTTACCCTAAAAAATACTAATAGTATGGGAAACAGGCATTGAATGCTCAAAGCACTGTAATAAATGTATATACTTCCATTGGCACTTGAGTTCTGTGTACTCTTTGTCCTGACCTTGGAACCACAACACAAAACAAACTTCTGGCTGTTTCTTCTTGTATTAACAAAATAGATGGAATTGCCTTTGGAAGCAAGTCTGTAACCTTTACTTGAACTCTTGAACACTTGGCAGCGCTACTAACCTGGATGCCTCTGAATACTCCATGTGTGTGGATTCTGTACTGGGTGCTGCAGCTGTAAACCATGGGTGTGTTATGGTCACTTTCATAGCCGGTTGTGTGGCTGGGAAAAAAAAAGGTAAAAAATAAGCAACTATTTATTTATTATTTGTGACCAGCTTATTGTTTCAGGCAATCCACTTCCCTGTAGTAGCCCAACAACACACACACAAAACCCGTGCGGTTAATTAATATCTGATTGTTCTTCATTTCGTCCTCTGGAAAGAGGCATTTTTTAGATGCATCATGACTCTTCAACACTAATTAAATATTACCTTTTACAACCCCCTTTTCACCTCCTGTGTTACTCTTAACGGTTGTAGTCTGTCATATGGCTACAGTGTCCTGACCTCACAAATGCAGTCTTCTGCTCCATTTCGAGTAAATGTGACCTGGGCGGAGAACTACAGGTATCCCTGTATTGTTCTGATCTTGCTCACATGTTTTTTTTTTGTTAGAAGGACCTCATGAACCAACATGTGGAGGGCCTGAAATGTAACGAGGTTATACAATCTGAGGGGACTCTTCCTTGCCAGTCACAGGACAGGGGAAAAACATTTGCTTGTAAAACAGTAGGGGTTAAGCTCCCATTAAATAAAAAAAGAACAGTGGTAAAACGCTATGTTGAAATACGCATTGGGAAGGAGTAGCACATATCCCACAATGTAAATAATAATCTTTCCATTTTTACACTTGACCTCACCATATTGGGCTACACTAGGGAAATGTCACACCCCCTACAACACACACAGCAACTACTGTACTTCAAATCCGGACACGTTTTGTAGGAACTCTGCCAGAGCTATGAATTGCACTTACAGATGCAGTCCAAGTCATTGACTGCTACAATTCTGCAGATTCTATTCTACAACAGTTCTTCAGCTTTGTGGAAATTGCTCTTTGTTCTCTGCAGCAATAAATTCTCCGTACCAATCAGAGATGGAGCTCCAAAAAAGACAGATGGGAATTTCATATCAAACCAAAATTTATACCCATGACATGACAGAGAGGGCCTCCAATTTGACCTCAGATTGACACAGTTGCTAAGCGTGTTATTTTTCTCTTTCACATACACACGGCAGTAACCATGTTGCTTATAGAGCATCTACTTATCATCAGTGAATGACTCACATGGTGCTAGTTAAGAGAGAGCCAGCAATGGCAAGAGGAAGGATTCTAACACATACTTAGTAAAAGAGGGCAAGAATTAGATTACACACTCATCCAATCCACAATTCCTATTTTTCCCCACATCATCCAACTTTTTTCCTAAACTTCTTCTGAGGGCCTCATTAATAACATTATGGTTACAGAAGAAAAGGATTACTGTTGTTATACTGAATATGTACTTATTATGAATCAATATATATATATGCACAGGAGCATTCAAAGTTTTTTAAACATTGATATTTTTCAAACATTAACCTTCACATACAGCTGCTCTGGGAAACCTCCTTTACAGCAACAATCAAAATTGTGAAAAAAAATGTGCACACAGATCCTTCATTCATTCCTTTCAGAGATAAACACCTCAGGTTCATGTCAAATGCAACTTAAGATATTGGGAACTGCAGCATTTATTATCTGGAGAAGACACATAAATTCTTTGGCTTTCATCCCCAGAGATGAGACCATGTCTAGGACTGATTTTCCACAGAGTTAACAGCTTGGCTAACCCAAAATTTTCTTGATTTAACTACAGATTACTCATTTTGCCATTTCTCTTCTATACTTTTGGGTGTCAGTAGGTCAAATACTTTGCAAACCTAACTGCTGAGAGCCGTTTGGACAGTTTGATAACATGCAAGTCTGTGTAGCGTGTGTTTAGCCATTCCATTGTGTCCTGATCCGTTTGACAATTCCCTGGGGATGACCTCTTCCTTGCTATTATATCTTGGACCACGGTCAAGGCTGATCTGCCGCTCTGCTGCACAGGATATATTCCTCAAGACAGACAAAACAGTGTCTAATTGCACACACTGACTCTTTTAGTGTACAAAGCCTGAAGCCAATTCACAGAGCTGGAGCTGTGCTCTAGGAAAATGCTAATGCAAACAGAGTAGAAATACAAGAGAGGCATTTCAGATGATAACCCTTGAAAAGAATATAGACAACCTATCATGAGATGTCAACAGTTATGTAGTGCAGAATCCCCAAAGAATTACATTCATCAGGTCCGGATAGCCAGACAAGAAATCAAGGTCCACAGTGTCACATATCTTAAAGCTATGGAAAACATTCAAGATTACAGGCACTGATAGCTTTGCCATGCCTGTGGTCAAAGAAACGCGTGATGGATTGGGTAAGATAATGCCAACAGTTTTGTGACACAAGACCGATTAGTAACAAACCACAGAACAACTAGTATTACTAACAGAAGCAACGAACAAAGTTTCTTTTGGAGGGGTCACTGAGTGAAGGATGACTGCACCAAAGGATGTGAATATTTATGGACAGCTCCTCCTTTTTAAGAAAAGCACAACTTCCTGTGGGTCGACTGAATTTCATATGATTTAAGAGAGAAGGTGTAACCTTCAACATGTAACTTTGCAGTTTAGAGGGGGTGTTTTTCTGTATTGATTACAAGCAGCCCTACAATGTGGTTGACAATATGGTCAGGGCTGCCTGTTTAAACAGAAGAGTTAATATGGATCCTAATTAAACTGGCAACCAAGACCATTTTTCCATACATGTATATCCACTAGGACAAAGCTTTAAAATTCTCTATTGCAGTATAAGCTATATACTATATAGCTTATATTGCAGTATAAGCTATTGTAATATGCTGCAATTGCTTCATTCTTCTGGCAACTAGCTGTAATGGTGACAGATACTGTTGTCTTAGTTTGTATTTTCAGAGTCTCGTTCTTTTCAAATTGCCCACATACTCATTTGTCACCTTTTTCTGCCATCCTCAGTTTCCATTTTGCCAAAACATCATATTTTTCAAAACCTGGATTGATCTCTTTTATATAATAAAATTACAAAGAAGTAAATAATTTGAAAAAAAAATGCCTATAGTCATTTAATGCATTCTAAAGCAGACAATTTATGATATTGGACCGGAATTAGAAGGCTTGGATTTCAACAGCTGAGTAATTTATAATCCTAATTTATGACAATTTTCACATTTTGCTTTTTGCTTACCTCTTAATTGTTGGTGCCAATGTGCTCACAGGGTTCCATGCCATGCATTCAAGCTGTGAGGTCATTTGGTATAAATTATCACTGCCAGGGGGGGAAAAAATAATAAAAACAAACTAAATTTCCTTTGAAGAATTCAAAATAAAGGACAGAGGGGGTTACCAGCGGAAGAAAAAAAAGTCAACAAAAATTTGAGCATAAATTGGCACCACAGGAGAATCAGACAAAAGTCATGTTAAGACTGAAAAATAGCTTATGAAAGGGATACATCCTGGGTAACAAGTAATGAATGTGCCAGACAAAGAGAAAAATCTTGCTGGGAAATGATAAATTATTCTAATCCTTCCAGTCTTCGAACTGAAATACCTATCTATTATTAAAACTCTAACACCAGGACCATCAGTTAACTTGGCATGTGGTGTTTACCCAGCTACAGGACTGTCAGGTAATCTGACAAAAATATTCCCTACAGTGAAGCTATCACAACCTATAAAAATTAACACAGCATAAGAAATGAAATTGTTTGGTTGGGCACAGATACATCAAGTGTATCGCAAAACACTACAGAAAGAAATAATAATGTTGCCCGTATTTCATTGACAGAAACTTTCAAAGACCAGTTACAAAGTAGAATCCTTTATTCAAATATGATCCTGTGAAGAAACAGTTTTAATGTGTTTGTTTTAGGATTAATACCTTCAAATATGCCTCAGATATGCACATACCCATTTGTCAGAAGTAATGGACACTATTATCCATTATATTGTCTCCAGTGCTATTATGTCTCTGCAATATCCAGCATATCTGCTCAGAAACTATTACCCTCTCCTGCCGTTTTCTGCAATAGCTGTTCGTGCTGGTCGGTGCCACTGCACTGAGCAATTCCACAAATTCTTCCTGTAATGCTGCAGTAATTAATTCCTGCAGTTGCCCGATTTTTATTAGAAGTGCCAGCGTTATACTGTTTATGGCAGGAGATTTTCTCAACTTTCTTCTCATTTTGACACTTCATTTATAAATGTGGGGCCTCCTCCACGATCTCGGCTGGTTTTTGTTCTCCGTTGCCTTTTCATCAAACAATCCATTTATTCACTCTGTTTGTTTGGTTACCTCTCTCCGTCACTTTTACCTGTTCGAATGTAAGGCGAGACCAGAAAAGGAGAGGGGGTGGGAGAGGAGGTCAAACTAAAAACATGACACCCCCCCAAAAAAACTTCAGGCTTAAAAAAAATGAAGCTAAGAGAACCGAGCTGTTGTTTACGAGGCGAGAGAAGCAGAACTTGAGGGAAAAAAACTGTTTTTTTTCTATGGGAGAAGGTGGATGACTCAAGCAGTCTTATCAATAGAATTTTGTTATTTTGGAATCTTTATGTTCTCTTGCTGAAAACAACAAGTTGTTGGCATTCAAAGAATGTGTTCTAAGTACTGAGTTTGGCATCTTTACATATAAATAACAAAGCACTTATTAAAGCACTATATAGAGTAACGACTTTTCCATTTTAAGGACATCTAGACAGTCATCGGGATAAGGAATTCAAAAGGAAATCAGCAGTAGATCATTTGGAGTTTATTTTGGCCTGCTGTGTGCTGCTTACAGCTCTTGACCTTTGAGCAGACATAGCTATATTGTGGAGGATTATTCCTTTTCCTCTTTAAATTTATGCCATTCAAGCTTCAGGTACAGGTTTAACACTTACAGGATATGATACTGTGTAACTAAGAATAGTATTCCTATATAGTTCAATTCCATTACTTTTTTATTCATAGACAATGAAATGGCCATTACTTTCACTGTCATTGTGAAAGTATGTTTATACTTTTATTGACGCTTAAGAAAATACCCAGTACAAATACACATATTATTATACTTAAAATAAAGATTTCCCTCCAGTTTAAAAAAAAGTTTCTGTTTTGTTATTTTTGAGGTAATATAAAAGAAACCTTTTTTTATTTTGGGAAGTGACACAGCCCCAGAATGTGTAGGAGTTAGCACACGCTTCATCCGTTTTGTTATGTAAAAGTTGATAAATGCTTTTATTTTTCTAGCAGTCTAAAGTGAAGGTCTTACACTTGTAATTCTGCACACAGACTGTCTGAAATAAACCCCCTTCCTTCCTACTTACCTCACTCCCTCTTTCCTCGACGTCACACAGAATTCAATGGCAACATGGTTGCTGGAAATTCCATCAAAACCTTTAAATTAATTAATGAGCATTGGTGTCATGGTTGTGTAATGAGCTGGTGAGTTCGATTTCACGCAGTTTGTTTTTTTGTGTGTGTTTTCAGGTCACCTAGCAGCACAAACTGAGAGATATCAGAAAAACCTCACAGAAAGACATTCTTTCTTTGACAGTTTCCGCAGTACTGAATGCAAGGTGAAGATAAGATGGACCTGAAATTAAACTTCACCCTGAAATTACCATAAATTTCCGAAATCTAAGCTGTATACATCCTGAAAGCAAGTACTTTCAGCGGCACGGGTGCATGCAGAAAACAAAAATACAGAACAGTAGTTGAGGCTAATTCAATCCATCATCCAGAAATTAGTGCTGCCTTTTACCACTGTTGTCACGACTGTGTCACCGTGTGAATCGAGACACAGGCAGAGCAAACCTCTCTGTCAAACTTTGTCGACTTTGGCTGCTGTGTCTGATTGAGGTTCTGAAATCTAGAACCCATCAAACAAACCTGGTGGAACAGACTTGCTGGGCATGTCCGAAGGAAATTTGAAAGGTGTGCCTGTCGGGGCAGCAGCAGTCGGTGGGGTTGCTGATAGCTGTAAAAAAAAAAGTTACCTGTTGTACGGGTTTCTGAGGAGTAGAGCCTGGCTTCCTGCACAGCTGTCCGTGGGCGTGTGGCAGCTGTACACCGGAGGAGGGACGGGGTATTGCTGCTCTCCTACACAAACAACACCCCAGTTAGCCGCCTCACCCCCACAATCTCCTCAGGTACCCCCTTCCTCCAGCTAAAATTCGCACCCCACTCACACCACTCACGACCCACCTTCTTGGGGGAAGCGGCCGCAGGTTTGATTAATATGAAAGTTCAATCATTCATTTGAGGAGCACCTCCTATAAATGTCATCCTCCCAAGTAACAAATCACAAATTCCTTTCCGATTGCAACAAGAAAATAAGAAGCAATACCTTCAGGAAATAAATAAGTGAGGAATAAGTGGTCAACAGCAAAGCAAAAGACATTCATTATGTTTCTTTTTAGGGTTTAAATGATGACCATATAATGTTTTCATAGTTTCTATCTGAATTTATACATTATATATTACCTGTGATGGTATTTTACATATTTTAATATTCATAAATAGCCTCTGCATAGGTTCTAGAATAGCATATTTGTAAGTACAAAGACAACTGATAACGTATTATATGTACTAACAAAAATGAGGATTACTTTAACATTTACGTACACTGGAGTGTTTTTTTCTGAGCCATTTTAACATAGTCTTTCAAATGCCTTAACTTGCAAAGATTATGACTTTTACTTTTGACATTTCAGAAAAAAAATGTTTTAAAAACAACAAAAGGAAAAGTAGTTATTAAAAGCAAACAAAATCCCATGTACTATGAAACAACCTATGAAAACAATCGAGCTCTCTTTGAAGTGGTAAAATAATCCATTTGGTTCTCATTCGAAGTGCAAATGAAGGTTCCTTGCTTTTCTTTTCCTGTGAATTGGTCCCTGGGTGATTCTAAACATTCCTAAAACCTAAAGTGAATGGTGGTTTCCCCACACTGATAGATCCAGAAGAAGGAGAACACGCTTCATGTTTTTAGAATTTACAGCAAGGCAGACTGTGACACTTGAAACACACCCATAATGTAGCTTCGCGTCTGCATCTATAAAGTCTTATTTATTCCAAGTTAGCCTTAATCTATAACTGACTAAGGCTGAGAAACATGAAAAAGTGTGACCACTTTAAGCAAGTCAAACTCAGGTATGCATCTGTTTATGAGATGAAACTATATAAAACAAATAAAATCTATTTCTGATTGGAATCAATGCACTCATAATTGACAAAAGGATCAGTATGCCATTCTGAAAGAGAAAAACCTCTCTTTACCAGAGAGTCAAGAGTGTAAAATATAATCTATTAATCAGACGCATTGCAGAAACAGACTGACATGCTGAAACGCAAAGCAATCTATAAACATACCCTGGAATACCTGTAAACTAATCATGCAAATATGATTTTTTACTCCATGACTGATGCAAAGAGATAATTGTTATTTTTAAGTGTTCTCAGGATAATATAACTAATTGTTCTGAGCTCAGCCTGAGCACTACAAAGCTATCGTAGAGATCGACGGAACATTTTGACTGTTACCTATGTTGGTCTGTTGACTGATGGGGTCTTCGTGCTTAAAAGAGTGGTTGGAGAACTGAGATGTGTGATGAGAAGGAGTGTGACCGTAATTTGTAGCTCCATCAAAAGCCACCGTGCTGTAACCTGTTAAGAGACAGTGGAGTGATTCAAAAAACATCCTTATCATCAGCCAGTGCAGTTTCAGTGATCAAGTTTGCTGAGAATAGAATTTTTATGAATTCACATTCTGCACATCACGACTGAATAAAAGTACATCTTGGGATTGATTTTTTAGGTGTATACTTATCTTGAAATGAAAGGTATAAAAATAAACTTCTCAAAAATCTACATATTGTACAGTACAGTAAATGGATAGAACAGAAAAAAGCCAAATCTTTACAAATCTGAGTACATTATAAATTATGAAATGTTTTTTCCATAATTATTTTGATCATTGCCTACAGCAAACTAGATCATTTCTTTCTAAACCTCTATTTTCATTGTAAAAATCTCACATACAAACACACATAAATATTAAACAATTGTCAATCCTACTATTTGATTAAAGCAGCCTGTATAGACAGTAGAGGCACTTGCACCCACATTCAAATAGCATTTTAGTTAAACATGGAACTTTTTACTTCTTTTTACTTTTCAGTACATATAGTTATATCAAACAAATGAAAAAGGACCAAAATCCTGTTTTAAAAAGCAACGTTTATAATCACTGTGTTAGGTCCACCCTTTTTCAAAGACAATTTTTTTGGAGCTGTAAAAATCTACTTCAATGCTACATTTTTTATATTTTCAATGACTTGTTTTTAAAAAAAGAGAAGTTATTAGAAAATAAAAAATGTTGGGCACACCTTTTAAATCAAGTAGCCTCTAAGAGTTTCACTCTAAAGTAAAACATGCAATTCTGCCGTTTTACAGATTCCATCTGGTCATCTGATTTTATTAATAACTGAAATGTAAAGAGTCTGCATTGCTGTTCAAGCACAAACATCACCTCCCACTGGAGAGTGAAAATTACTTTGGTGAAAACAAACAAGTTTTGGAAAAGAGGAGAGGTGCCACCGAATTGGAGTGAATCATGTCTTTTCCTGACCCCACACTGACTCTGCATCGTAAATCAGCCATTTCAACACCAGCTTCATTAATTACACCAGACCACTTTCACAACAGCTTAGGCACAAAACTAATTAAAAGGTCATATTTTCTTATATGGGTTCTTGACTCATGAATCCTTGATCTTTATCAATGGAAATGAGCTAATTCAGTAGGTTTCTGTAAAACCAATTATCTGGCCAAAATTTATTTTGCATTTCTTATTGTATCTGTAAATCACATTTATTATATTTCTGACTTTCTTGATATTACAATTACGTGACAGACCAAATGACTTTTTTTTTCTTTTTAAGGGCTCGACTATATCTCAAATCACAATAATATTCTTAGAATCAATATTTTCATTCCATGAAAAAAATCCAGAGATTATTGAATGTTTGCTCCCATATTAATGTCTCTTGGTAATCAAAAGCACTGCAATTACTAAACAAATGTAAAAATAAGTTTTTAAGAATCATAAATTTCCCTAAAACATATACTATTCTACTTAGTGTCTTAACAGTTTCCTTAAATTCTCTTAGTTTTCCTTAATTCTCTTAATTATCTGTTAGCTCTTCAGTGTATCATTAAGTTTCAGGTCCTTTTTTATTTAGTAAACTGGAATTTTATCTTTATATACTGCAATAATTCTCTAACATCGCTCTATCGTTGCATTTGAGGACTTATCGTTGCATTTTAGGCAAATCAAATGTCAAGGATTTTAGGAGTCTACATGTAAGAAGGACTTTTAGCAAAAGTGAGCTGATCAAATGCTTTACAAATTTGAATAAGAACACACAGTCATTCATATGTGAAATATGTAGATATAAAGGGTACTGTCTGCTTTTGAAAAAATGTAGTATAGTGTTACATATGATTGCTGTATCAAGAAGATATTGTCATATGAACCAATATGCAATATGTCAATATGTTTGTAACTTCAGCCGTTTGACAATTAAATACATGTTTACAGTACTGGGAAACAAGCTATGAATTGAACTGTAAGGATACAGTAGGCATAGAGACCTCATCCCATCTTCTGGGCTTTGCTTTGCAAAATTAAACAACCAAGATAACATCATATACTGTATACATACATTCACACTGTGAATTATTTCTATATTCTGATAATTATTATACTTTTCTCCCAATGCTTACCATAATCTAAATCTTTGGAAGTGTCACAATAGGATATATTTTTAATGTGGCTTTTAAATTTGGGAGGAGTACATTTTTTAAGGACTTTCTGGATCATCTCAACATTTCCCTTAATTTTCATAGTCTGATCTGCCTGCTCTTACCAGCTCAGCTACTCAGGAAATAGTAGTTGTCTTTTGATTTATTTTTTTCATTTGCACAACATTCTTTTTTGACTGGCTTGGTACAGACTTTTCATGACCTTCAAAACAATGCACCAAGCGGAATGATTTTTGGCCATGTTTTCCGGTGTTTGCCTGGTCCAAACCTAAGGAATGTGATAAGGAGTCTGGAGCACAGAGCAAAGCTTTTGATAGCAAGGTCTCTTTAATTAGGACTTTATCAAAGTTGGGCTTGATTAAAATGTGCTGAAAATAATTGAAATTTGTCTATCTGCTGCACACTGTGATCTTCAGAAAGAATCCAGTTATTGGGAAAACCCAGATGAGTGGGAGATGAAAAAGAAATGGGCAACATTTGGACAGTTTTATTTTCCAACACTGCCAAAACCAGTCTATAAGCCAAGGTAAAATCATTCCCACGCTCTGAAAGAGTTTTTAATGCTAAATCCAACCTTGACGGTAGCTCAAAAGAAACATTTTTTGAGCCTTTCATTATCATTTATGCACAGATGCAGCATTTAAGGATATGCAAAACTGTACAGCTTTGAGAGAAAAAAACTTTGACCCTTATCACTTATCGCATGTAGAAAATAGTCAAACCAGAGTGCTGTTTTTAAAAATGATGGCTCACACATAATGATAAACGTGTTCAAAATGGGAAAAAATATGAAATATGAAAATGTCAGAAAAGTTAAAAATGTTTCTTGTGTTTTATTACCCTACCACAGTGCTAACACCGCCAATGTAATCTATTAACCAAAACTTTACATTTCAAGTATTTGCTCCAAAAAGTAGTATTGTACTTTTTAAATATTTTTAAATATTGTAATTTTAAGGAAATTTACTTTTGTGTCAAATGTAGTTTTTCAGAATTCTATTTTTAATGAACAGCAACAGACTTATGTTTTAATTATAAAATCTGAGCATAGTTCAGTATAACTTTTTTTGTCATATAGTTGAATGGTTTGAAAATGACGTACTAATATTATAAAGTATCTTACAGTGCATAATATTCCTAAAGTCATTAAATTAATACTTTTTTGCACATGGATTTAAGGTACTATAAAGACTGCCAGATTAGTCAAGAAATGTTTAATCCTTTATTACATTATCAACAACACCCGTAAAATTAATGTAAAATAAATGATTATGTTTCTGGTTACTTGTATGTTGGAATACTTAGAACTGTATCGTAAGTTTACTTTACTTTACTTTACTTACTTTACTGTAACCTTTTATTTCTAAGATTAAACTACAATAGTTCAACAGTACAATAGTTCCTAATACATGAATTATCATTGTGTTTCATTGTGCTGTGTCACATATTTTTGCAAGCTATGCAATTCAGATAAATGTTACACACCAGACATTCTGTTTTATAGCATCAGCAAGCAAATATTTAAAAATTCATTCCATTTAAGTAAATGCTTTTTATCAGGTTAGAAATCATATTAAACTGTCTTTTTAATATTTAGAATTCTTCTTAAAAGATCTATTATTAAAAAATAAGTAATTGTATTATATTCTACATTTGATATCTCTATGAAGTAATGTTTGAAAGTGCATAACATCTTTCCTTCAGATTATTTTCTGGCTAGCAAAGCACTTATGGTTCCAGCATACTCCTTTATTATTAGAATTATTACGATTCCTATATAAGCTTCAGAACTGAAGCCACCATAGTGCAAACATATTTATTTATCATTTTTAAAACAGCCAAGTAAATCTGCAAGGTATGTCAATAACATATATATTCTCTTCATGTCACCAGAAAAAGGAAATGCTTAATGTGTAGACGATTTTGATCATGTTTAAACCTCAGATCGGATGCTTGGAATGTTAAATCTGAAGCCCTATTGGTATTAAAACATTTTTGGTTTAATTTAACAATTAAAAAATGCCTTTGATGTTTTTCATCAAAAGTTAGTGCCAGGGAAAAAAAAATATTCTGAATGAAAATGTCAAATAAAGAAAGAAAACAAAACTGTACTTGAAGAATGCGCTCAACTTTTACTTAAATTAAGACAGTGAGTGTTTCCAGACTTCATTCAAAAATTAAATGTCTCATTAAATGAATACATAGTGCTCAATCTTATTTCATAATAGTGTTTTGAGGGAAAATTAATACAGAAATTGCATCTGTCAGAATGTCCACTGAGAAGCAGTGACAGGTTCCAGAATGCTCAGCAGGACTGACACAAGATATCTTACCCTGGTTTCTGGCGGCTGGCTGGGTCTCCATACAATTGGGCAGGTAAGGTCCATTTGTGAACATCCGGGCTTGATTGGGAGGGGGCTGGCTGGGTGTTGGGGCCCCAAAAGCCCCATACCTACAGGCTCCTGTCCCCGTGAACTGACCAGAAAAGTGAACCGTGAAGGCACTGAGGCCACAGTGGTCGTCGTGTGGGTCAGCGGAGTTCCAGTTGGGCTCCTGCTTGATGAAGGAATGAGGGGCGAGGGAGCTGTAGGGTGTCCCAGTATGAAAGTCCAGAACCGGCCCCCACTGAGGAGCACTGCTGACTGGCAAGGCACAGTTCCCATTCCCCGCTGGCAGGGAAGATACTGCCGGGAGCAAAGCATTGAGATCTCGAACGTCCGAACCCATCTGCACCCACCACCTGGGAGCTAATTTCTGCTGTTGCGCACTTGGGTTCACGAAGCGAAGAAAGCAGGGAGGTGAGGGTGCGAAGTCTACAGTATATATTTGTACGTACAAATATATTTACTTCTCGGGAAAGCCTCCTCACTCCGTAGAATAAGATTCAGCAAAGGGTTAATTCGCTGTTCCAGGGATTCATGACTCTGCGGTGCAGAAACGCTCTCAATTCAGGTCTTTCTCTTCAGACCCCCCCCCCCAAAAAAAGAAAATGAGAAAACCGCTGTCCACTAATCTAATAGTCCATACAGGTTGGAGGAGCTCTTGAGCGCTGAAATCCTTGCTGATCCAAATGGGTGAGCAGTGGCTGGTGTGTGCTCGAGGCTGCCAAGGCAGGGGAGCAAACTGGGGAGTAAGGGGAGTAGAGGAGCTGCCCAGGGCTCTGGTGCTGTGTGTCTATTTGCTTTGGAGTTCCGAAAGCTCAAATACAGCATTACTCTGGGGTAGGAGGAGTCAGGGCCAATGAGCAACCAGGATGAGCCATTCACTGACTAACCTTACCACAGCTTTCACTATCTCCTGCCCGTGCTACACAAAGCGCTTGCAAGTGTGTGTGTGTGAGTATGTGTGTGTGTGGGGGGGGGGGCGGGGGGGGGTGTGGGGAGCTGGAGGGGCAATAATAATTCATCCCCAGCAGTTACATCTTTTCACTTACTCCTAGCACAACTAAAACCTACTTTTAAACTGACTGTGCAAAAGGAGACTGTGGCTTGTAAGTACATCGCATAATATTTATTTCTTGGCTTGGCGAATGCACTTGTGAGTGCTGATTTTTTTTTTTTTAGGTTTGGTTTTTTGGAAGTCTGTGCTGTTTATTCTATAAATACACAGGAAATCTGCTATTTGTGTTTTCGTTTAATATGCTGCCATTTATCATTCAGGCAAAATACAGATGTAAAACGAAACTGGAAAATAACCAAAAATCACTACATTTTTATAATTCGCTAGAGAACCTAGACAGCTAGAGTGTTGCAAGTATTGTATTTGTTTCAAGCAAAGTCGTTGCGTGTTAAGTATGGTTAAAATTGCTTATTATTAGTGACGCATCTTTGGGATAGAGTATAGGGTGCTGTGTTTGTGTGTCTCTAGTTTAAAAAAAATAGAATAACAGGATATTCAGGTATAAATTAATCACATACTATACTGTATACAGCAACAAGCGAAGAGCTTTACCTAAAGTAAACCACACGGTAGTTGCAAGACATCTTCAATAATAAATTTCAGAGTCAAACGCAAAGAAAAACATGACAATGCATTCCTTGAGGTGACACCTTCAAACCTATATTAAACCCATAATGAACATTCCTACAGTACCAGACCATATTCGCTGCAGTTCACACGCTCCATTGAGTTCGTACAGGTCTTCATTTAACCGTTTGAAAGTTATATACAAACATCGTGTTAATGTGTGAAAGCATTCAACCGAATAGATAAACAATCGGGACAAGCTATCGTTACTGTAAGTTATAAGTGATAACAGCTGTACATACAGTATGTTGCTAAATTTTACTTCGTAGCCCAAGATTACTTTCAATTAAGATAGGATTAACATTACTGTCACGTCGAAAAACGTACTTCTACATGTGCGTATAATAATTTACGGGTGGAAGGCAATTAATTTAGGAAGTTTAATTTAGGATTACCAGGTTTCTTACTGTGTGTTTAAAAGAAAGCTCCATGACGGACTTCAAATGATTTCTTATTATGGTTATATATCAATTATACCCGTAATTACTTACATTATTTTACCAGTACTATTGCATTTCGTATTTAACATTTAACAGTTAAAAAAGGTAGAATGTACGAAACCATTGCACAAAAATCAATTTACGTGTTCAACGGAATTATCTTTCTCCAGTGGTTTGACAGACTTCGTATGTTTCCAGTATTTTCAAACTTTTGTGGAGGAAAAGAGACTAATACAGACTAGGTCATATTATACCAAAATTCTTTTTAAATGGTTGTAACGAGCTTTCAATTATTTTTTAAATTAAAGAACAAAATCATTTCAGTATTTATTTCTCTAAATCCTTCAAGACGATACATCTTACATATTAAAACATCTTGGATACTAAATATGCTACTTGACTATATGTATCACATACAGTATTGTATGTGGTCTTACTTAAGACCTTATTATGAATCTACAGAATATCTACTGTAAAGCCAAGCAAGATAATTATACTTGAAGAAATATACAGTAATACTTTCTTAAAATACTAAAACTTTAACTGAAAAATTTGCAAATTCAGATTATTTCAAGAAAAAAATGTGGGTGGAAATTGTTTAAAATCAGTCATCTTAGATTTTCTATTCGTGTCATCAAAATGAATTTCTAAATATGCTATGGAGACGAGGTAATTGCCTTTTAATTTTAAAAAGCCTTTATTAAATCCGAAAGACTGCTTCTGCAAAAATATCTAATTAGATATAATAACATAGATCAAAATTAAAAAGGATAATCAACCTAACAAACACAAAAAAACAGTAGAAAATGGGTGAATAATAAAATGTTATCGAAAGTTCTAAATTTCAGGTCATGATTTCTATCAGATCCGCCTCATCATCAGTGACAAGTTACAAAATGGACGTTTTCAAACCTTTTTCTCCTGAACAGAATTTGCTCTTAATTTTATGAAAGTTTTAAAAAATGAAAATTGCGGTGAAGATGTACGACAAGATTTGTGCCGAAATCAAAAAATAAAATTCATTTTTAAATATTTAATATGAAAAAGGCAAGAGAGAAAAGTCTTAGGTATTTTACACTGAGTCTAGGAAGATGGTAACGTAACAACTACTCTAATAATGACAATTATTGTTATGATCACAGAGGCAAATAACAAACGATTTTCTTGAATAAAAAAACAACTAAAAATTGTCTTTTAATTTAAATTAACGTTTTCTTGGAACGAATATTAAGACAAGGGGTACTTCGCTATTCAGATCTTTGACAGCGTAAGATTTATCCTAAATACACACATCTTTATGACAAAAAATAAAAAATGCATGAGGATTAAATTGTCGAACTGATCTTAAATTTACGCAGGTGTTGATAGTGACATCTTTGACTAGCACATTTATAAACCATATATTTATCTAACAACATCCAGAATAAATAGAAATGTTTAGAAAATAAATAAAAAATCTCAAATTTGGATTTGAAAATAGAACTGGGAATCTAGACTGAGGTCTGGTATCTGAGTCATTCTGATTGTGACTATAGACGATAGTATTTTCAACCTTTTAGGTTTAAAGAACACTGCTTTACGCAAAATGAAATCCACCTGTCACGATGTTGTTTGCTCTGATCTAGGCTTTTAGCACTCATGAAGATAGAGGGAATAAACTTCTTCTTGTGTTAAATTGTTCAAATGAATTTCACGAGGATAAAGCCTTGTCAAATTAGACAATGGGAACGCGTTGTTCTTAAACAGTCTATACCAGAGAACTATAAAAAAAACATTAAAAACACATCGAACATGAACATTTCCTCTCTTTGTGTTTGGTCATTTACATTTATTATTAGTAGTAGTAGTATTAATATTACTGTTGTTGTTGATGTTGTTGTTGTCGTAGTCGTGATTTTTAAGTGCTCCTGGAAGTAGACCCATATACAATTTGTGCAAACTATAGTTTCGTCCTGTAGTACAATATGCAAACTATAGTTTCGTACTGTACTTGTCCTTGAAGCTGCTGAGATGTAACCACCGGAAAGACACTTTACGCACCGCTCCTATGAAGCCGTTACATAAAAGCATCCAGCCGGTATTTTTCTTTAAACATGTTTAGTAACACTTGGGTTAGGAGCTTGTAATGCACCTCCGGTATTTAATAATTGTTTTAATCAGATACCCACCGTTCTAACAATAAACATCACAATTATCACAAAACTATATATGAATTTAGTGCACTAGTGAATATTTAGGAATGTGCAGGTCAAATAAATACTCTCTCTAGATGTGCATTTTGCAATATTCCTTATTAAGAACCACAACATATTCACCGCACTACCAGGAACGTCTGACTATATATAAATATTGTATTCTAAAATAAACGAGACTCTTCACCTCAAACATAAACAAAACTTAATCTTACATTAAGCGTAAATATACAGTGATCATGCATTGAAACTTTAGTGAATAATCGTGGTTTTCTATAAACGGGCAATGTTTCTAAAGATTTGATATTGAAGTAGAATTGAAATAAAATAATAAATCCTAGTATTGGTGTTTAAAATTAAAAGTTATAAGACGCTGTTCCACCTTATCCAGTAAAATGGGTTTTAATTTATTTTTATATGAAATACCATATTGGTAGTGGAGTTGAAATTAATTGTCTTTATGGCATAGTTGAAATTAAAAATAACCAAACTCCTGCAAAGAATGGAGATGTTCCTGATTGATGTCTTTTTTCTTTTCTTTTTGGCGAGGGGCTACGAATTGTGTTTTGAATATCAAGGGAACATTTTTATCTGTTTAATAAAAAGACAGCTCACCAGCAGGTGCTGACTCTACAATGACCTCAGGCAGTTGCTTATCTTTAAAAAAAATATTATTCAAAACTAAAATAATAAGGGAAAATGGTTAACCGCTACGCTACGTGCAGTTTGTAAATGACAGCCACCTGCAAATGAGTCAAAAAGATTATTTGTGAGCTCTTTTAAAAAAACACGTAAAATATGTGTAGATTAAGTCAAATGACAATGGCTTCAGTATGTGCTTCTTTAGTATAATGTAGGTGTAATATACTACTGAGGTTCAGTAACGGTTCTCACTTAGAGCACACGTTGAGATGCAACTGGTTTGAGACTCGACTATATCATTAGTCAACTTCATCTAGGATTTCCCAAGCAACACAATTTCCCAAGCAACAAAATTCCCAAGGAACACAATTGGCTGACTGCAATCAGAGCTACAGTAGGTGCCCTGCAATCAGTCCAGCAATGTGCCAGGTACCTGTGAGCTAGTGGTGTTGTGAATGTGATGTCACTCTTCCAGCTGAAGCTTTCTAATCCTGGTGCACATAACCTCAGGGTTTGCAAGTTTGCATCCAAGCTAGTCTTTTGGCCCTGGGTTCAATTCTTCGATGAACTATCACAAACTAGAGCTGACATTTTAAATTGTTGGTCTGCTCCTAAAACATGTCAGTTACTAATATTTCTCAGCAAATTTAAAACCTCTTACAGTCAAGGAGCTGAAAATGATTAAAAATGTCTAATGAGTAAATTATTTCGTTTTTATTTAATGTGGAGCTTATATAATGAAAACTCTGCTGACCAGTGATCATAGATGAAACTTTTTTTTGTGTAAGAGCATCCAGGGTATGATCACCAGGTACCTCCGTATGTTTTGGGAGTCAAAGAAACAAGTAATAGGTTAATTCCATGCTGAAAAGAGAAGAAAGAAA